CAATAACTAAACCTACCGCTGTCATCAGTTACAATCTTAGAAATCATCACAACCTAGCTGCTATGGAGCACTGTCAGACTTACGTGCGGTACAACTTCTTCTTAAATAAGTTTTCAGTCATTTGGAATAGACTACCAGCTAATGTGCGCGATGCAAACACACTTCCAGTGTTCATCTCCTCAGTCACCAGACTGCTCAAAGATGACAATGCACTTTTGCGCCTGACTCTTACACCTTCTTTTTCACCCTACATAGATATTTTAAGTTCTTTAAACGTGTAGTTACAACAAACTACAATTATAAATTTTAATATTATTGGAACTAGATGATTAACATTTCTACACAGGACAGTAATATTAGTTCACAAATAATATAAAAGTTAGCATAACGGGACTAGTTAGTTTGTGTACCAAAATAACCACAGTTACTAAACAGAATATATATGTATATATTTATTAATCACTCCTTAAGGACTCCCGTTGCTTTCTTTTGCGTTGCTGTTGTTTGTCTTCTTTTTTCTCTCACCATTTCAGCTTCCATTTGACTTTTTGAATGAGAATGAATAATGTGGATATTTGACCATTTACAATGACAAATGATCTGCAAACATTATTGGTCCCGTATCTTTCAGTTGCCTGGTTAATAACGAATTAACTTTCTCCACGACGCAACCTGGATTACATTTGTGGAATATACTCTTATACCAATGGAAAAGTATCAATTTGTAATACAACGTCACGATTGTAGCTTATAACATAACTGATCGTATCTGTAAAAATAGCTTCCTTATTACCCAATTTGGATATAAATCAAATCAAAAATGAGATTCGGACCTGTAAACAAGAAACTACTTGAGTACTACAGCGTACCCCAAATATTCATCAACCTTATCTAACAGCTGTACGACAACGGCACATGCCAAGTGATCCACAACGGAAAACTCAGCAAGGCGTTCGCAGTAAACACAGGAGTCAGGCAAGGGTACTTATTATCACCAATGATATTCCTAATTGTGGTGGACTGGATTATGCGTCAGACAGTGAGTGGGAAACGAGAAGACAGGGATATCCTGGACCGAAATGAAGAACCTAAAAGACCTGGATTTCGCGCGTGGATGATTTATGTTTGATGTCACACACAATCGAAGATTTACAGGCGAAAACCGACAAACTGGTCGAAGAGGCAGCCAGCAAAGACAGGACTCCAAGTGAACATAGACAAGACGGAGGTCATGAAAATAACCAACCAACAACAACAGCAGCAGCAACATCCAGTGCCGACCACCATCAACGGGAGGGATTTGAAAGAGGTTACTTCATTCACTTATCTAGGGAACATTGTCTCAACTACAGGAAGTCGGAATGGACGAGGATTTCAAATCGAGCGAGAATCGGGAAGGTGAAAAACACATTCATCAACCTGAAACCAATCTGGAAATCTTCGTCATCACTCAGTATCAACAACAATATTCAGTCGGATTTTCAATACAAACAACGTCAAGTCAGTCAGTTCTTCTATACGGATCAGAAACTTGGCAGGTGGGTCACAAAGAATATTTCCAACAGCCTGTTGCAGATCTTTATCAACAACAACTGTCTTAGCTCTATATTGAAGATCAGATGGCCCGGCCGGAAAGAATCACCAACAAGAAACAATGGCAACCAACAAAACAAGAACCAATCGCCAACTAACAAATGCAGGAGAAAGTGGAAATAGATTGGACACTCGCTGGGGAGGCCATTGGGTGGCATCGCGCGTCAGGCCAGTGCTCGAGTGGAACCCGAAAGGGAAGCAGCGAGTTGGTGGTCAGTGCAAGGGTGACATGGAGGAGATCGTGCGAAGAGGAGTTGAAAGAGTATGGACTAACATGGATGGAGGTGAAAAGTAGAGCAGAAGACAGAAGCAAGTGGAGACGTGCAGTTGAATTCCTATGTTCCACTAGGAACTCAAGGGAAAAATAATAATAAATAATAATAATAAAACAAGAATCACACGTATTGTAGTAAAAATCTTAGATTATTGGGATAACTGGAATTGAGACAACTAGCGTGTTAGACAGCAAGCAGGCGAATGTGTACATAGTAATCATGTAGAGTTAAAACAAGTGATCCACCGAGTAGACTCTTCACTATGAATTTATTATCAAGCTATGCAGTCGTATATACATATGTATTTCTGAGATAAAATTTCCCATGACCGAATTTAAACAAAGGTGTGAATACATAAAATAATAATAATAGTATGAGATGAAATTTATATATTTATGATAATCGTTGTTAACTGTCAAGTGGGTCACAATGGCTGAATGACCTACTATATCGACGTATATCCGGAAGGTTAAGAGTTTGAACTCCAGGGGTTACTCACTACTAAAGAGTCCCAAACTAGGACAAAACATCTATTAAGTCCTCCAAGCTGGTTTCCCAGTGTTTCCCTAACCAATATCAGCGCATGATGAAGTCCTGTAACCAAGCAAATCATGGTGTTTTTTGAGATTTTGATTGTATTAAGTGTAAGGATGTGCAAGCATAGATTATTTCTCTAATTGATGTCAACTCGTAATCAGCCCCGTAACCAATCACTTCGCTTCAAACCAACACCTGGTAGTATATATATATATATATATATATATAAATATAACCCTAGGCCTATATATTTATCAGCTACCTATCACTTATCTGATTGGATGCCTCAAGGTCACCTCGGTAGGTCATTCTCTTTTGACCGTCAAATATGTCGCCTGAAAAATGAATATCAAATTTCTACTCATAAATAAATAAACAAATAAATAATAAGAAACTACCTACAGGTATATTTTACAGGCATTGTATAAGTGACCGTTACGAATACCCTGAAAAATCAATCTGATATATTTTTGAGTTTGATCACGGAATCACTGAAAACTAGGGAGTACTGAACAGCTGTCTTTGCCTGATTCAGGATTCATCGTCACCCCCTGCCATTGTTTGAAACCAGAACCTTTTCGGTTATAAGGTGAGCCGGTAGACCATTCAGCCACTGAAACCTCCTGACTCACTGGTTGGCCCATGAATTCTAACTTCTGCCACTTTGTGATTTTAGGGAGACTGGCACCAGACAATTATCCTCACTCCCAACTTGGTGTACCCAAATGGTCATGACTTTTCAATGTAACTTCAGGCAAATTCATCCTCTAGTCAGTTACTAGCAGGCATCGGATATATTTTCAAGAGCAATTTTGTAGGCATTTGATTTATTTCACTTGGTGGTAGCGTAAAATACCACGAATTGGTGGAAATTAGAATTCACGAGGCATTGAGTCAGATTCCCGTTTGCTGAATGGTCTACCAGCTTGCCTTGTAACCTGCAGGTCCTGGATTGGAACCCCAGCGGCAGATGCATACTGATGATGAATCCCAAACTAGGACGAAAGAGTTGTCCAGTGTTTCCAGCTGGTTTTGTTAATGGCTCTCAAACTGATATCAATCCGTAGTCAAACTTAAAATACACCAAATCTCTATAAGCAAACTCTCGAAAGTTCGATTTCTGTTGGTACAGAATACATTAATTTAAGAAAAATTACAAACGGCTTTTGTCTAGGTGAAGATGTAGTGATACACTGAAAGGCATTTAATTCAACAGCGAAATATTGATATTTAATTCCAGGTTGTACTACTTACAACCTCAGAAATAAGTAGTACCCAGTAGGATACGGTTTTGCCTGAATAGTAATAATGGATTTTATTTAATAGGCAAGAAACGCCGTAGTAGAAGCGATAGTTAGAAGATTATCATGTTGAGGGTCAAGAATCAAATAAAATTCCTTGGGATTGTATTTGTTTGTATCAACCTTAGTCCTCTCACTGACCTGAAATTCAACCTCTTTGCTGTATGACCTATTTTTATTAGTGATTTGATTTGTATCCCCCCTCCACATTGTCTATTAACTGCAAAAAACTTATTTGAGTACCAGGCCTGCAGGAATTCTCTGGAGTTCTGTTTGTCTCCTATCACTAAGATTTTCCCATTGTTCCAGTTGAATTGGTGTCCATAGTTGTTCACATAAATTCATATGAAGAAATGAATGTACATCAGGTCTTTTGTGTTCTCTCTGTCTGTCTGTTTCCGACAAAGAACTTTGCACCAATGTTCGGCAGTTCAAGTCGCTACACTCCCTCAATGTAGCACACAAAGCAAAAGAAGAAAGTAGAAGAAATGCATAATAAAGACAGTAAACAGAGGTGTGAAACAAAGGAATAGTAATAACGAAGAACAATATAGTTTCATTGGAAATCATAAGTCAAAAGGAGTGGATGCATCTGCGCCAGCCATCATTGAGAACGATCATTTTGAGCAATATCACCAATTGTTTCCAACCATTAGTTTTTACCGTCCCGAGGACCCCAACCAGGGAGTCTACACCTCCCTACGTGGCTGGATGGCTTAAACTAACTGTTGTAGATTTCACTGACTGGTGCCATATTTTGGTTTGACTGCAGCTAGCTCTTTTCCAGCCTGACCCTATGTCAGCTAACATTGCCCTTGGGTCGAGGAAGGTGATGACTAGGCATACGTAACACATGTCCTAACCATCTCAGTCGATGTATCTTCACAGCCTGGTCGATTGATTTCCCCTCCTTACCTTGCACTCGATACCTAATCTCAATATTGCTCACTTTATTATACCAATTCACATGGGAGATAGAACGCAGGCACCCACGATCAAAGACAGCTAATCTTTTCATGTCTTCCACTCTCAATGGCCAGGTCTCACATCCATAAAGGAGGACGGAGCGAACTGTGTTCTAGTTTGTTATCATGAAGGTGAAGGGGAAGAAGAACTCCTCAGTTTTATTTTCTTTCAATGTTGAGTCTTTTGTTTGTCTAAGTTAATTTTATGTGTCTGGTTGATTGATTTGGACTGATACTGGATTGAAATATTTAGTCTGTGTTGACGCATACTGGCTCCTAGTATGGATGCTTCAACGATGTTTTATTGTGAAGATGATGTTATTTGGTGCATGATGACAACCAGGTAGAATCCAGAATCCTGTTTGTGACTAGTTAGCTAAATATATTTGTATGTCGAGTAAGTGATGACGTGATCCTGAGTCTTGAAGTTTCACTCAAAGTGTCATGAACGAATTCTAACTTCTGGAAATTCACAATAAATTCAGTTGGAAATTTTGTACATTTTTATAAACACTTGTAAAAATTATATTTGTAAAATCTCAGAGAAATGGAAATGAGTAATCCTGACGTTCCTTACATTTGATAAACTGTATTGTATGAGCTTTGATCGAAATTTGATCTCAGACTTACAAATATTAGTCTATTTTTGTCAAACACTTGTGCGTCGGTGGCACAGTGGTTAGGACTCTCGCCGACCATGCACATTGTCCGAGGTTCGAGCCCCTGCCGACGCATACCTGATATCTATGGTCGGCCTGCAAAATTTGGGCTACCGATATTCATGCTGAAAATTCCATACTTTTACCAAAAATACATTGTGGAATCAAGCTGTAATCAAAGATAAAGATAAGATTAACAGAGTGTACTTTTTAATAAGGTTATAGGTTTCCAGAACGTAGATATCACTAATTTTCTGGAATAATTTCAGCGCCTAATCAGACTGAATCATAACAAATTATTTAAAATAATCCCAGCATGTTTAAGAAAAAATCAAAAGATTTTTCTGAATGTTTCATTGCGTAAGCCACAGCTTCTTCAGCAGAATTCAAGAGCGTATTTCCTATCAGAAGTTTAGTGATTACGTTCGACTAGGAGTTCATGGTCGTAGATAACTGAATATGCAAAATACATATGTGTATATGCGGTGTACAATGGTGTGCGTATGGGTAAACAGTTGTAAAACATTTGTTAGCCTCTCCAAAAGTAGACTAATATTTATTGAATTGAATTTTTGATTTTCCCGTCGATTGATTGGACCGAAGTGCTCGGTCTCAGGTTGACATGTCGGCTTCTTGTGCAGATGCTTCGACGATGTCTGGGTATTTAATTAGTATACAATTGGTGGATGGTGGCTAGCAGTTGAATCCAGAGGTGGCTCTCGTGGCCAAAGTGGTCTAGTGGATAACGCTTTGGCGTTTGAAGCTATAGGCACTGGGTTCGGGCCTCAGTGGGAACATCATCACTCACTGACAAATGCAGGTACATCCAGTTAACGAGTCCCGAATAGGACGAAATGCGCATCCTGGATTCCACTGCTAGCCACCATCCACCGATTGTAGACTAATATTTGTAGGTCTGAGGTCAAATTTTGATCAGAGCTCATACAATTTTGTTTAAAATCATTAGTTCCCTTTATGAATTTAGACAAAGTAGTAAGAATACGTAATTCATCTGAATTGTGTAGTGTTGTATTTGCGCAACACGTTTCGAACAATCTGATCACATACGGACTTGTCATAGGAATATATATGAGATTAATGAAGAGTTAAGAGCTGAGGAAATAGACTTAGGTCAAGTTAAAAGGTCAAAATAACAATCAAGAACACTAAACCAAATAACAGAGGTAATAGCACATCTGCTATGGTATCAAAACAAAGTTTCCCAAGGAAGGTTTAGTGTGATGACAAATTGTTTCTAAACGCATGAAGGTGGTATGAACTTTCTAATTGCTAGGGCTTCCACAAACTTTAGGATACGCTCAAAACACGTTTTATAGATAGGTTTAAAAGATCTGTTAACGTCAATTTTATGTCCTATCTCTATAATATGTTTTGCAATATAGTAGCTAGGTCTCCTGTTCTCACTATTAATGGCTTCTCAAGATTCCATTTGCTTCTGGAGCCACCCTTTTTTTGCATAGATAGATGAGTCCTTCCTATGTATGTGTGTCCACACGTACATTCAAATTGGTAAATACAGTGGGATGTGACATTTTTCGCATGTTCAAAGGGCTTAGATGGATATATTGACTTCTCATTCTCAATTATTATCATATTAGCTGCCTAGAAAGTCTTTTTAACACCAGCGTTCAGTCTTTGTCTATTTATCAAGCTGCTATGATGCCTCATATAGGTTAGCTTGGTGTACATGTCTTTCTTAGGGGCGAATTGGAGAGTGTGTCTTGGTGTTCTGACTACTTTATATCTCCTGATGAACTTGTCTGGGTGATTGTTATCAACCAGAGTTTGTGACAACTTTCTTTCTTCCTCATCATATGTGTCTTCAGTGCATATTCGTTTGATTCTACTGAAGAGGCACCTTACTAAGGCTCTTTTGTACCGAACAGAGTAGAAATTGTGATAATTAAGATACCGTCCTGTCTGAGTAGATCGTTTTATTAACTCCTCGAGCTGTCGACTAAGCAATATGTCTAGGAAAGGTAAACAATTATCTTTCTCTTCTACAGACGTAAGTGATATGCTATTCTGAACTTCATTCATTCGATTTAAAAGTGAGGTGGGAGAACAAGGCTTATCACTTATGAATACAATGTCGTCTACATACCTTCTATAAAGTGGCACATTTTCGATTAAATCCTCCGATAAACTCTCAATGCACGATATGTAGATATCTGTTAAAAGGGGCCCTAACGGATCTCCCATAGCAACACCATCAACGTGACGGAAACAATCGTCTTCAGGTGTAAACCTAACATTGCTAGTACATAGAAGTAATAAATCCCTTAAATAAAATGTAGGGAACTGGATGATAAAATGATGTGTGGAAATGTAATCAAACAAAATGTCAATTATTTTAAGCAAAGGTATATTAGTGAATGAAGAGTTTACATCAAAAGAGCACATATTTTTAATGACTCATATTATTAGACAAAGTTTTCAAAAACAAGCCATGTCCTTTTCACATATAAACCACTGTTATGGTAATTTCGATTGATTTCCCTGCAGAAGTTCAGACCAGATTGCTGAACGTAGGAAACGTTGGAATACTGTACGTCAGTGGCACAGCGGTTAGGACTCTCGCCGACCATGCACATGGTCTGGGGTTCTATCTCCTGTCGACTCACACCTGATACCAATGGTCGGCCTGCTAAATTTTGGCTACCAATATGACATACTGAAAATTCCACACTTGTACCAAAAGTGCTATGTGGAGTCAAGCTATAATCAAAAAAAGTTTCGATTTCTCTGAGATTGTAGAAAAATATTCAAATTTTACATATATCTACTTCCCACTCAGTACCCAATTATTCTGGAACTATTCTATCAAATCTTGATCACAGTTCATATGAATTATATAAACATCGTTCAGAATAAAGCTATTATTTTGATTGGACACTAGTAACTAGTGGGATGTGTCTAGTCATTTCTTTGACGCAGACTGAATTCTATCAGCCAGGTTTGCAATTTGGCCACCATTCTAGGTAGTTCGCCATCATGGTGCACATTGATTTGATGACATTAGATGATTGGAGGAAATCGTAGGGAAGCCTTGTCAGGACCTAGATTTCGTGCTAGTTGGCACTCACTAGCCAGCAACCTTGAAGGAACTCACGTCCATCCTGAGATTGGAACCCACGTCACCCAGTACTGCCTGTAATCAGAGACGTAACCACTCTGAGCTATCCGGGCGCACAATTGACCTCCTGTAGGGCTGTAGCGGATACTTTGCAACCTGACTGATAGAATTCAGTCTACACCTAACAAAGGACTAGGGACATCACACTAGTTACTAGTTTCCAACCAAAATACCCACTACAGTACTATAGGAGGTCAATCGTGAGCCAGAATAGCTCACTGGTAAGGTCTCTGAATGCAGCACTGGGTGACGGAGGTTCGAATCTCAGAAGGGACATGAGTTCCTTGAAGGTTTCAGATACGCCTTGCTGACTAGTAAGTGCCAACCAGCGCGCAAGCTAGGTCCTGGAAAAGCTTCCTGCCGATCGCCTCTAACCATCTAATATAAAGTTATTATTATTTTTATTATAAATAACATAGATATGCCCTTAAAATATGTTCATTATGAAAGTAGTTTTTTCAAATTTTCTTTTTTTTCTCCTTCTATTTTTCAGCGCTGATCATATAAATTCAGGTTTTTTAGAAGGTATCTACGTTTTAGTGCATAGTTCTGGTAAAGTTACCTAGTCAATACCAGTCCAGTTGAAAACCTCATGTAAAGTTGATATCACATTATTTCCATTTGATTATCAAAATTGTGAAATACAATTTGGTTCATGGATCTACCAATCTGATTGGATTGAATATCAATTTGAAAGTCAATCGTTACATGAGAATTTAACAACATCATATAGAATGAATCATTCTGATGAAGAATTCGACAGTGATAAAGTCAATAATAATAATAATAACAATCATGGGATGGTATTATCGATGAAGATTATCTGACTAAGCATGCTTTAGACACCTCTTCTTATTGGGATAGTTCTGATTGGATGCTTTTACATGCTTCATTAGCTTACACTTATCGTTCAACGGATTCACTGACTGTATGGAAACCGACAACAACAACAACAACAGCAACACCAACACCACCAACAATCTTCGATAGTGAACAAATTTCAAACAAAATTGAAACATTGAAACATACTAAACAAACTGATTTAGTGTTGAAATTATATTTACAAAGAAGAAGTTTTTTCTATATATGGAATATTGTTGTACCGTGTATTCTACTCACCATGTTAACACTGGTCACTTTTTGGACACCAGTTGTTTCAGGTGAAAAAGTTACCCTTGAATTGTCAGTATTTTTAGCATTTTCTATGTTTATGATGTTGATAGCTGAACGTGTACCGCCGACAGCGAAAAGTATTCCACTTATAGGTAAGTAATCATTTCATTTTATTCTTGGTTGTGTGATTTATTTAGAAAGGGTTTGTTATTTATGGCGGTTATTTTCCCATGATAGTTTTATTGTTTGAATTTAAATGAGGAAAGAATTTTTTATTGGTGTCGCAGATTTGACTGATAGGAATCAGTATTAGTTTGTTTATAAGATACATCACAGAGTGACTCCAACAGTATTATTTACTGGATGACACAGTTTTGAACAAAATGCATTGTTCATAATCATTTCATCATCAGTTATAATCACACGACTTCGAAACCTGAGTTTTATAGTTTTCTTTCTTCTCCCCTATTTGTCGTCGTTGGGTTAGTAGATGACACATTCACTGTACTTAGAACACAGGATATAGGTAGATTTTTCAAACATAAAATTAGCTGAAAGTTGGAGGCAATGCAATTCACTTATAAAGTGGAAAGTCAGGAAGGGGAGCTTCCTATGTTGGATTGTAGCGTAAAAAGTAGAGAAGATGGGAAGTTAAACACTAGTGTTTACACGAAACTCACACATTCAGACAGATATTTGGACTTCCAGTCATCCCATCCTAAGTCAGTAAAATTAGGATTAGTAAAATGTTTACATAATAGGGCACAAAAACTAAGTAGTACCAAGGGAAATCTAAGACAGGTTGAGAGACATATCAGAGAAGCCTTGAAACTTAATAATTACCTGATAAATTAGTCAGAAAGTATGTAGGGAAATGTAAAAATAAAATAAATAATGATAGTGTGGTGAGAGCAGGCTGCCAGCCAATTGGTAGACATTAGTCTACGTCAATGTCTAGGTCACTAATATTAGCCGTGAGAAAATATGAACAAGGCTGATTCAACAACCAATCACAGCAGACTTGAACGTGGGCAAACATCATTCGCAGATAGATGGCTCGACTTTCCGAGGAACTCGAAAACAACCAATCAGAAGACTGCGTTTGTCTACTTGAATAAGTTATAATAATGTCCATGAGATATATATAAATACGTGTTGATTTCCGTAAAAAAGTGATCTGTTGCCTGGCCCTTGTCTTTTGTTGTTACAATAGTAGTAATAGTGGTAAAAATAATAATAATGGTAATATAAATGACGACATGCATGTCAAATATGCTCAAGACAACACCAACATTAACGAATCTAAATCATCAGTAGTAATTCCATAGAAGGAAGGAACTTTGGAGACCTTACTCAGAATTCTTAAGAAGGCAGGAATAAAAGTGGCTGGCATTCAGACCATCCACAAACTCTATTAGAAACAAGCGTTGTCGGTTAAATGGTGAATCCTGTGGAGCCTTTAAAACAAAGGAATCTAGTTTATCTAGTGCCCTGCCGAAATGATTGTCAGGTCAAATATATAGGTCAGACTAGTAAAACATGGGCAGTCAGACTAGCAAAAATAAAAGCCTAACAAAATCTAGATTGGTTGACCTGAATAAGATAAGAAATTTAGAGAATAGTTCAGCTATAGCACTCAGTACACGCAATTACACACAACCATACAATAGGATGGGATGGGATGACAGTTTTAAAATCTAATGTCACAGGGTGGAGGGAGCGATTGATAACAGAAACTCTGTTTATCGAATCAACTGCAAATACGTATAATAAGAATGATTCAACACCTGTCCCAGACATCTGGTGTTGTCAAGCATCACACATCACACTTTGTCGCTGAGGAGTGCCAGAAAGGACGATATCTAGGTCCAAGGCTTCCTACTGATTTTCTCCCAAAAGCTAACTGAAGGTTTAACTCCATTATGGATAAGATTTATCAAAATAAAATCTTATCCATAATGAAGTTATACCGTACCACAGTGCCCAAGTTTTATACGTATAATTGAAGGTTTATTGAAAATTTGAATTTGTAGGCATACCGTTTATTTTTTTACGAGTTGATCACAGATTGATATCAGTAAGAGAACCGTTGAAAACCAGGAAGTACTTGGCAGCTATTTCATCCTAAATTGGGAACCATCGGGTTCGAACGCCAGCGGGTGGATACTGCCGATGATTCCCAAACAGCTGTCGAGTACCCCTGGTTTTCAATGGCTCTCTTACTGATATCAATCCGTATCAACTCGTTAAAATAAAACTAACCCTTACAAAGCAAACTATAGAAAATACCGTTTATTGTTAATATAGATTTCATCATCAGAAGCCATCATTAGGACTGTGTTTGAAACCCCAGTATAGAAGAACTCGGTAGTGTCCACCGGTGACATCAGTCACCGTAGCTGTGGTCGATCTGAAAACAAGGACTAAACATCTATCCAGCCCTCAATGAATTTCAATACCTCTATAACTGATGTTTATTTGTGGAAAATCTTTTACTTATCTTAATGTCTATACAAGATAGCTCGACATTATTGACACTGTGTGACAGTAAATTTTGTTTTCATTCTAATAACCCACTTGTTAACAAAAGTGAATTTCTTAAAATCCGGACTGCTACCATACAGCTGATAGTTAGAGACAAATTAGCACTTACTAATTGGAGACATTATGTTACTTTACTGGGTTTTGTGAAAATATGATTTATGACAAGTTGAACCCCATCATAACTTTATATTAACTAGAGAGACCTACTGAGAAGCCAGGAAAATTGGACACTTGGTATTTTTGTCGTAGTATGTGCGTCGGTGGCACAGCGGTTAAGACGCTCGCCGACCATGCACATGGTCCGGGGTTCGAGCCCCGGCCGGGGCACACCTTTACCTCACTAAGTCAGTAATGAGGCTGGTAAGGAGGAAAGGTTGGGCATGAAGCTAGCAACCCCATCCTGTAAAAATCAACACTGCTACGGAATCTTCAAGCCTATAGCTTGGAACCCTATGTTCCACTGAGAACGTGAAGGAAAAAAAAGAGACTTTCCAAAAGACGCGCATTTATAAACCAAAATTGGTGTCTCTTCTAGGATTTTTGTCATGCTAAATAAGGGGTGAACAAACTACAATTCAGCCAGTGCGTTAAAATCTGACACGTTATGACTCCTCATTCCTGCCAGTTCGCGGTACACCGAAACTACTGTCGATACATGACGTTTTCAACAAAGAATTACTTAGCTGTTTTCTTAAATCAACCCAACTAACATAAGAATTTATGCCATTCTAAAAAATAAAGCACAGATGTCTAATATTTGGTTGATTGAAAAGACGTCGATTCCTTGACTGATAGTAAAAGTATTATTTGGTTGATTGTAGTTAACAGTGGAATCCCAGTGTAAGTTTCGTCCTGTCTAGACTCGTCAACCAGTTTTATTTGTATCCCAGTGAGTGAGTGAGTGATAGTGTGTTTTTGATACATGGACTCGAACCTATCACCTATATTAGCAAGCACCAAAGCGTTATCCAGCAGGCTGCAGAAACCACTTTATGTTTTTTATTTTGATTACAGTTTAACTCCACACCGAATTTTTGGTACAGGTATGGAATTTTCAGCATGTGATATCGGTGACCAAAATTTTTCAGGCGACCACAGATATCAGGTGTGTGTCGGCAGGGGGTCGAACCCTGGACCATTTGCACGGTCGGCAAGAGTCCTAACCAATGTGCCACCGACTCACTTCTTGTGTATAGGGTGTCAGCTATTATCTCTTAGATTAAAACTTGATTATATGAAGTTCTATAAACTTCATGTTTATCAAATACTGTTGATAGAGAATTACCATCAACTGTTATTTTTGTTCCTTCACGTTCTGAGTGGAACATAGGGCTTCAAGTTTAAATTTTGAATTTTCGATTGAAGTGGGCGGGGTTTCTAGCCTCATGTCCAACCTTCAGTCTTTTACTGGCCCTACTACCGACTTAGCCAAATCTAAGAGTATGTCGGAGGCGGATCGAATCCTGGATAACGTGGGTGATTGGTGAGCGTCCTAAAGTTGAACCACTGTAAAAGCTTTGGTCAGATTCTTGTTCAAGTATCTACTTTATATGGATTGTATTGAAGTACAATTCAAGGACTTACCATTTTCTCCTTTTTTATCATCCATGTACACCAATTAAGAATCTGAAACCGAGAATAGACCGTTCTCTTTTTCGATTGTTGAATTACTGTTCTCGCCTCCTCTCTGTCATAGTAGAAGTTATTAGATGCGGTAGGTCATTCAATAAATGGGCAGTCCAGAGTCTTGTTACTGTCTAAAGTGTTTTTCAAAGTTCATCAGAATACTCCTACTTTCCATAATGCCTCTTACTATGGAATATTCAGCTAACACGAATCAGTAAGTAGTATGTGGTGTGAAAAATTCTGATGTTTGTTGTTCTATCTAGTCAGGTTCTTGATATTCCTGCATCACGAGAGCAGCCATTAGGTTCGCATTTTATTAAGTGAGAGGCTATAAGGTGCTCTTGGGTATCCTCATATAAAGTAGGAGACTTATCACAGAAACTCCTTGAGCCAGCTGGTCAGCTGGTCCAGAATGAGCTTTAGGCTCCTAAACTTATTCGATACCTTTTATTCACCGGACTATCAAAATTTGAAGCCAGCTTCCAGGCGACCTTACACGATGACTCGCCATCAGCGCTTGGTGAACTATGGTAGACAATGTTCACATGACCTCGCCTAGCTTTCCCCATTTATCCTGTTTTCAACTTAAACCACATGTCTAATATTCAGGATTGTTTCAAACTCTCACACAATAAACTACTCACAAATTCTTGTCAGTAGCCTATGCCGTGTTAACAATTCTCTTATTGAATTACCACACGGGAGTATACTTCTTTTCCTTTTTGTATAAATTTTTTTCATCTCAAGGTGTGTATATGACTTCAGTAATGACATTAACAGTTGGATCAGTTGTTGCCTGTGTGATTGTTATAAATTTGGATTCAAGAGGTGAAAAGTTAACACGTGCACCGAAGTTTCTACGTCGTCTCATGCAATCTCGCATAATTCGCTTGTTTTACAAAGATGATAATATCAACAAATCTGCTGTTGTATCTTCTATAGTAAGCTTCAATTTTATACGTATATGAATATATATTTTTCTATAGTTTGGTTTGTAAGGGTTAGTTATGTTTTTACGAGTTGATCACGATTGATATCAGTTAGAAAACCATTAAAAGCCAGCAACAGCGAGTACTAGACAGCCAGCTGTTTCATCCTAGTTTTGGAATCACCGCACCCACCGGGATTCGAACCCAGAACCTTCCGGTTACAAGGCAAGCTCGTACATCAATCCGTGATCAACTCGTAAAAACACAACTAACCCTTACAGACCAAACTATAGAAAATTAATCTGATGCTCGCTAGTGACTTGCTACAGGATGGAGTTTCTCGAAGTTCTCGTGAGAAGTTGTGACCAGTGAGGTCCAATTAGATGTCACGTGTGTGGATGGATGTCCCACCAACGACAATAGTTGGGATCGCGCTAAATCATGAATTGTAGAAGTTAGAATTCATGAAACACTGAATCGGGTGCCAGTGGCTGAATGGTGTACGAGCTACCTTGCCTTGTAACCGGAAGGTCCTGGGTTAGAACCCTGGCAGTGGGTGCGTACTGCCAATGATTCCCAAACTAGGATGATGAAACAGCTGGCTCTCCAGTACTCGCTGTTGCTGGTTTTCAATGGTTCTCTAACTGATATCGGTCCGTGATCAACTCGTAAAAAATAATATATATATATATATATATATATCATCAAGTGTTGGATTTTAGGGATTTTATTGGTTACAGGTTTCATCATAAGTTAACAATAGTTACAGGATCATCGAATAACCTGGGAATAATGGATATTTGTTTCGTCCTAGTTTAAGAATTCTCACTTTACGCACTCAACTTGGGTTCGAACTCAAGACCTTCTGGTTATAAGGCAAGCTCGCAAATGGTTCAGACGCTAGGACCCATTCCAGTGTTCTTGCTATTCGTGATATATATATATATCACCACTACCAGCCAATCTTTATCTGCCAGGAGTAAGACAAGACTACCCATTGTCACCGGTAATATCACTAATTGTGGCCTGGCTTATGTGTCAGATTGCACGTTGGGAGTAGAAAGACAAGAATACGTAGGGTCACCAGTAAAAAGACTCCAGAAGAACTAGATTTCGTGGGTGATTAATGTCTTATATCATATAAACTCAAAGACTTACAGGTGAAAATCACCAAAATGGCTGCAGAAGCAGGCAGTGAAGACAAGACTCAAGATGAACATAAAGAAGACAGAGGTGATGAAGATAACCAACGAACAGCAGCAACAACAGCAAACAGCACCAATCACCATCAGAGGGTGAGATCTGACAGAGATTACTCCTGCCCTCACTTGTCTAGGAAACACGGCTTCAACCACAGGCTAGCGGAGCCGATGAAGATGTCAAAGCTAGACAGCCAGAATTGGAAAGGCAAGAGACACCTTCATCAACCAACCTGAAACCAGTTGTAAAATCTTCTCTACTCAGCAGTCAGCATAAACAACAAGATTCGGATTCTATTCAACACTAATGTCAAGCAAGTCAGTCATTCAGTCAGTTCTTCTATACGGGTAAGAAGCTGGGCTAGCGTGTCACGAATAGGATCTCCAATAGGTCACTGCAGACTTTCATCAACAGCTGTACACTCCCCTGGCTCCAAAATGTAGGTCTAATGGCCTGTGAGGAGGAATTAGCAACAATAAACTCGAGGGGAAATCAACCAAGAATATATTACTCAATAAATATTCCTAAGGAAATGGAGATAGATTCGGCACATGCTGAGGGAGGTAGTAGAATTACATCACGTCCCAAGCCATATCTCGATTGAAATATGGATTTGAAATAACGAATGGAACAGCCTAGGGTAAGATGGAAGACATAGTACGGGAAGGATATGAGAGACTATGGGCAATTGTGGTGCTAGCTAAAGAGGACGGTAGAAAATAGAAGAAAGTTGAAACTGGCTGTTGAAGTCTTGTGTTCCAATCTGAACTCAAGGGAACAGTAGCAATAAACAATAAAATCTGTCATTCAATCCAACCTCAGTGGAACATACGTCCAATACTCTCTAGTGACTTTCACTGGACCTCTAATAGATTCTCGATCAAACCTGCAATCGATAATATCCCTTCAAGTGAACACTTGTTGCTTTGAAATTGACTACTCTATTTAGTGTTTGCCTTTAAGCATGTAATTATAGTCAGTAATTATTTTTAGAGTAGAATTATTGATCTCGTTTTTCAAATGACACCAAAGGTCAATCATCACAAAGCTTTGACTAACAAATACTCACTATACACAATCCATATCAATCAATAATGATAAGAAGCTTTTATAATTCACACATTCACTTAACAGAAACTCAAACTCAGCATGTCCGAATCAGTCAGTCATTTTTCTAAACTTATCTACTTCACTAATCAGCCGTTTATTTTAGAGTTGAATACGGCAATTACAGTGGCTAAGAAAATGTCACAGGCACAACTATCCAATGAATACTGGGTACTGACGACAAAGGCACACACGATTTAGAAAAGTAAAACACAATTTCTGGTGTACATATTTTACTACTTGTGAGTAGTGTAAATGTTATGGATAAAATAAGGCTGTTTGAGATAAGAACGAACCAATCAAGATGTGCGATTCCTGGGAATTATTTCACCACAGTTTCCTTTGGACACCAAGATTATTCAAATCACAAGGTGTGATCAACTTGATACCACAAATAATAATCAAGAAACTACTGACCAATTTGAGTGGTATGCAACTAATAACCTCAACCGATCAGTAGTATGTGTTTGGTTTTATGAAAGGACAAATATTGGAGCAGCGAATAATATGGATTCATTTTATTTCATGGTTTCTCCTCTGGTGCCTACAACTTCTAACAGTCAAAAATACAATGAGTTATGATACAATCATCTATCCATTTTTGTTCATGAATAGGAATCAGTCATGCAGTAAAGAATATTGCTACAATATCGTAGAAATTCTAATGGGCCGCAAACGGATATCAATAGCTGCTCACTTCTCTGACTACATACTCAAGATCAGATGGGCAGTGAGAAAAAATTAGCAGTAACCAACTCTGAAAAAGAACCGATCAAGAACCTACTGCTCAATAAATATTTTGAAGGAAACAGAGATAGATCGGAAACACGCTGAAGAGATCGTCGAATGACATCGTAAGCCAGGCCTTCGCTCAAGTGAAACCGAAATGCGAAACTATGAGTTAGTCTTGGGTTCGAAGGTGATATGTAGGAATTCGTGTGAGGAGGATACGAAAGCTTACAGACAACCGTGTGGCCGGATGAAGAGGACTGCAGAGAACAGGTCAAAAAGTAGATGGGTTGTTGAGGCCCTATGTTCCAGCAAGAACCAAGGGGAATAATAATGGTGGTTCTTATTATCATAATATAAAGCATACGGATGATAAGTTGTCTTAAGGCATTATATCATATATATATATATATATATATATATATATATATATATATATATATATATATATATATATGGTGAGAGCAGGCCGTGAGAAAATATGTACAAGGTTGATTCAACAACCAATCACAGCAGACTTAACGTAGCAAAATATGATTCGCAGATAGAGAACTCTATTTTTCGAAGAATCCCGAAACAACCAATCAGAAGCCTGCGTTTGTCTACTTGCATAAGCTATGATAATGTATGTGAAATATATATAAATACGTGTTGATTTTCGTAATAAAACGATCTGTTGTTTGGCCCTTGTCTTCTGTTGTTACATATATATATATATATATATATATATATATATATATATATATATATATATATATATATATATATAAGAGAGAGAGAGAGAGAGAGAGAGAGAGAAAGACATATTATCATCCTTAAGCTTTATTTTACTATGACGGTCTCAAGTTATCCACTAACACATGACTAATTCCTGTCGATATATAAAAGTATGTTAATGTAATCGTAGAACTTGGGCACTGTGGTAGAATGTAATTGCATATTAGATAAGCTTATTTTGAATATCACATAGTGATAATGCAGTATTAACAAATGGATGAAAAGTTTCAAGCATAAATTATTGCTCATGATCATACCAATTTATTCACGTGGCTTCGCATTTTGTCTGATATACATCTTCTCTCTTTCTCACTCTCCATCTTTTCCTTGTTGTTATTTGCCGTTTTCCATATCTCCAGTATAGGAGTTGCGTGTGCAGTGTTGAATCGATAAACAACGCTTCAGTGATTAACCTCTCCATCTGACTATATCACTTCTTAATACCCTCGCTCTGTCCCACTGAACTTTGTGATTACTTGCAGGTGAATACAAAGTAATGCAGTGGCTCGGCTTTTTTCCAGGTTATTTAACTTAGCAGGGTCAACTATTCTAGGTCTAGCAAAATTGTCATGCTCTAATAATCTAGTTGACCGCGATCTACCAGTCCGACCTATGTAATTAACCTCACAGCCATTACATGGTATGTGCAGATCGATAGCACGACCTATCCTGAAGAAACCTGGCACAGTATACAGTTACGTGCAGACACAGATGTAAAGGCTGTTAGTAACCTAAAACCAAAAGGTAGTAAGAGCCAGTGGATTTCTACCACTTCATCTGAACTGATAAACGCAAGAAAACTGGTTCCTGTGAGCTCCGATGATGATGAGGAGCGAAAGCTGCTCAAAAGCAGACTAACTAGAAGTCTTCGCAACGACCGTGACCAGTGGTGGGCAACAAAAGCGAAAGAGATGGAAAAGACATTGATGATATGTAACACCAGACAACTATTTAGGCTAATCAGGGGAACAGGTGGCAAAGAACAAGTGATGAGTGAAATAGTGGCACCATGCTCAACTTACCGAACATCCAACACCTCCCTGAATGGGATTTAAACACAGGTCCTCCGTCCCTAACTGAGGTTACTAAAGCTGTTACTAGTCTGAAACAAGGCAAAGCAGCAGGACTTGATGGAATGACTCCAGAGGTGTTTAAGGACGGTGAAGACAGTCTACTGTCTGCGCTAACTAAGGTACTAA